TTGTAAGAATCAGTGTTTAGAAAAAGATTTGCAAAAGTTCTGTATTTCCAGCATTTTTAATTTGATTTCATTTTGTCACCGATAACCAATTGTTATAACCTTCCCCATTCTCCATTGGAAATAGTTAATTTGAAAGCATCTGTTAAATCTAATTTTGATCTTTTCCAATTCATTGGAAATGGGCTGTTTGCCCCGAATATTGAACAAAAGAAAAGAAATGATGGGAATACCTGACGGACCTGACAGTATCTGTGGCGATAGGGATGGTTTTGTTAAAGGTCATTGGCCTGAAATGTGAGCTTGGTTTCTTGCTTCACAAAAACTGTCAGGCCTGGGGTGTACTTCTATCATCTTCTGTTTTTAAGATTTTTAGAACTGAAGTATTTTGCATTTGCCCCAACATCACAAGTCTGTCCTTAACTATGATTTATCATCATGTGTGTCATGTTGGTAATTTTGAATTTTGGCATTTCTGGTTTCCATTTCCTCTGATGGGACTTAATCACCAATCAAATCTGTACTCATTGCCCATTTTTGTGCCTACTTAATGTGAGTGTTTGCTTTCAAGATTACAGTGTTTATCCGCGCCCTTTATCCTCATTGAGTTCTGACAGTCAGTCATTTTTGAAGTACTGCTGCTACTTGGACGCACCATTTTTTCCTAATAGATGCTGAAAAGAATAACTCAGAAAATAGGACTCATTTAAAGCAAAAATTTCTTGTGATTTTGCTTGTGTAGAATACAGTATTTATAGCTTTGATCTGCAAAATCCAAATGTTTTAAATTTTAGCTGTCAATTTTTGAGGGAACGTGAAACCAATAAACGTTAAGGAAGGTCAAGCTTCTCTGACCAGGACCAAACAGCTGCATTGTTACTTTTTGGATGCAAAAAAATTACTAAGATTTAAATGCCCTGAACCTTGCTTTTCATTTCTAGTTGTCTGGCTTAGAAGTTCTCTCACTTCTATTACTCTCAAAAATGTTTAATGCAGCTTTTCCATTCTTTCTCGTCCCTTGTAAGAAAATTGTTTTTGATAACTTTACTTAGTAAAGTTGAACAGGTTTTGCTTTGTTGACAATGTTTCAAGTTTGTGAAACTTAGTTTTGAAATCTGTTAAGATACTTGTTTTGCTGTTGGGTACTTGTGGAATTCCAAGAGTAAGTGCTCTCATGGCTCACGAGATTGCTCTCTTGAATGAGAGGCTAAGTAACTTGGGCCTGTGTCCTGAGAGTGTTTGAAAATATGCTGATGGTTACACAATATTCAGTACCTTCGTGACTGCACAGATATTGAAGCAGTACTGTGTCCATATGCAGCAAGAAATGGACGGATTTCACTGTGACGCGATGACCATCTCCAACAAGTGACAACCTAACAATCTCTGCTTGGCATTCAATCACATTACGATTGCTGAATCTTTAGAAACAGAAGAATGGGGAGAGGGGACACTGTGTTCATGTCACTGAATGTAGGGTTTAAATTCCAACAAGACAGCTTGTGGAATTTAAATTAACTCTGTAATTAAGCTCATCTTCACAATGATGACCAGGAAACCATTATTGATTGTTGTTAAAAAGCTGTTTGGCTCACTCATTTCCGTTAGGGATCGAAATCTTCCATCCTTAGCTGGTTTGGCATAATTGTGATTCCAGACCCACAGCAAGGTAATTATCTCTTAAATGCTGTGTGAAATAGTCTCAAAGGCCACGGAATTGTGTTACATTACTACAAAGTCTGAAAGGAATGAAACCAGCTGGACCTCGCAGCATTGACATGAGCATCAGCAATGTAGATAACAAACGCAGCCCTTTTGACGCTGTGAAGTTCTCTTTGCTAATATCTGGGGGCTAGTACTGAAATTCTTCTGATTTCCTCACAGACTAATTAAAAAAGCATTCTAACATAGTTACATGTGCGGAAATGTTTCTCAACAGGCCACCTTTACTATTGCTGGATTTATGCTATCCCACTGACAGGGCAGACCCTCCAGAGATGGCATCACATGTAGTCATACATACATGGTTCAGAGAGAACTGTCCTGGGAGTCCTCAACATTGACTCTGACTCTGAACCCCATGAAGTCATAGTCATACAGCATAGAAACGCATCCTCTAGTCCAACTCATTCATGCTGGCCAAGTTTCCCAAACAAAACTAGACCCACTTACCTGCATTTGGCCCATATCCTGCTAAATCTTTCCTAGTCATGTACCTATCCCAATGTCTTTTAAATGTTGTAACTGTACCTGTACCTACCACTTCCTTTGACAGCTCATTCTACGTACCAACCACTCTCTTTGTGAAAAGGTTGCCCCTCAGGTCCCTTTTCAATCTTCCTCCTCATCTTTAAAAATATGCACCCTACTTTTGAACTCCCCCATCCTAGGGAAAAGACCTTGTGCTATTGACCTTATCTACGCCCTTTATGCCATCAGGTCAAATTGCCAAACAACTTCTAGATAGATGTCAGCCTTTTGGTTGTACTGGAACACCTTGGTTGGTGTGCAGCTGATTCTGGAGCACGAATCTTCATGAATATTGCTGAATGTTGCTGTGGCCTATATCCTTTGCAGTATCCGGTACATTCAGCCATTCCTTGATATTATGTGAAGTGAATCTCTGTTATACTGGAGAACCCAGAAGATGGCTGAGTTGGACCATCCACTCGGCACTTCTGTCCAAAGATAGTAATGCTTCAGCCTTTCCTTTTGCACTAGTGTACTGATCTCTGTCATCATTGAGAAAGAGGATGTTTGTGGTCCCTTCAGAGGTGGAGGCTTCTGACAAATGTGCTCATCTATCTCCTCATTGCCTGAAGCCATATACACAAGAGAATGTGGTAATGAAGGTTGATCGGGTTTATTTATAGTACTTATGAAGGTATAGCACAGATGTAAGGAGATTCCTAATTTCATTTCCTGGTGCATTTGGATGCCACAAGAAATGTGTGCAAATCTGAAGAATGTATTTGCTTTCCTCTTTGCTAGTCTGTAGCCAGGTAAATTGATTGCCGACTTCCTGGTATGTAACTTGCATCTGTGCTTTAATTCGGCATAATGTGCAACAAGCCCTCATATCTCCCAGTACCATGGTGTTATCGTACTTTTGTTAGTGCTGTGTGAACAAATCATTCTGTCACCACCAAAAATTGTTCTTTAAGAACCGCTACATCACTAGATTTCTCAATCCAGAGTTGAGTGCTTGAGACCAATATCTCTGTACCAGCTTTTCTTGTGTCAGTGAACTGTGAAAATTAAGTTGTCGGTTCCGATTCCAAAAATTAGCCGTCTTCAACTGTTGGCACAGCCTAATGTCATAGAAAAGCTTAACCCATTTTAACCAGAATTGCATACTAGAGCCTCGTATATATTTAATTCAACGTGTACGGACTTCCAAGGTCAGAATGAATTATGGTGATTTGTCAAAGCTTGTAGTCGAGAATTGGACGCAAGTCTTATGAGCTCTTATACTGTATTGCCTAGGACGATACATATTGCTTGCTATGTCATGAGTTCTGTGTTTTCTTTTCTTTATTTGTTACGGGATGAGGGTGTCGCTGGCTAGGCAGCATTTATTGCCCAACCCTAATTGCCCAGAGGGCAGTTCGGAGTCAACCACATTGCTGTGGGTCTGGAGTCACATGTAGGCCAGACCAGGTAAGGATGGCAGTTATCTTCCCATTAGGGAGCCTGACAATCGACAACAGATTCATGGTCATCATTAGATTCTTAATTCCAGATTTTTTGTTATTGAATTCAAATTTCACCATCTGCCATGGCGAGATTCGAACCTGGGTCCCCAGAACATTATCTGGTTCTCTAGATTAACAATCCAGCGATAATACCACAAGGCCATTGTCTCCCTCATCTATCAGTGGTTGTGCAATATGGAGAAATCTGAGGATTTACATTGTACATTTTTATTTCTTGAGAAATTAACTAGGTTCTCTCCTGTGGAAAGTCACTCAACTTGCATATATGAGGAATTCTTTGCAAGGCATTTGTTTTCATATTGACTGTGATAATTAGTCCCTTCAAGAATTCCATATGGGAAATGTTTTGATTTTCAATTTAATTTTTGTAATTATAGTAGATGATTTCCATCTGCTAATACATAATTTAGAGACCAGAGGAGAAGAGTTTCATTTCTGGTCCTGTATTTCCTATTCAAAAGTGATAACGTTTGCTAACAGTTTGTGCTCAATATTTTAAATAGTCAATTTGATTTCATGGATTTGAGACAACAAGCAAAAGATGGCAAAATCAAAATCACCACTAAAATGGTGAAAGTTTTGGATACTGTGACTGTTGTATTAAGAGAAATAAAATGTTTAATGTATTGGTGCATTTCTTCAAATTGCCTGCTTGCATGGTGGTGAAAAATCTTTCCTCCCTGAATCCATATCCATACTACAAAAAGTGCAGAATAACTTTTTGAGAAGTTAAGAATGAATTATTGCATTGGAAATAATGGAATAATAAGTGCATGAAAGAGAGTCAGCTTGTTATGCATGGTTTCATGCAAGTGGCTATGGACCTAGTGGAGGAGTGAGATCATCAGCCCTCTTAAGTTATGTACTACATTACAAGCTCTGTGTCTTGAGCCTGATATGCTATATTCTGTTGTTATTGAATTGCTATTATTTCTATTTCCATTTAATTGTTTTGGGGGGGAAAACAAGTGTTTTCAGCTATGCCAGTTTGAATTCCCTTTGGTTTGTTGATAGTTTTACATAAATTTGAATTGGGGTCCTTGGGAGATTGTTACTGTTTGCTGACATGTTAGAGAAAAGACTATATTACAATACAATATACTAAGCATTCGTGTTCAATTTTGTAATGATAACTTTGAGATTCTGAAAAATGATTATAATGCAGCATAATCATGTTCAAATCACAAAATATGGGGTGTCAACAGATAGATTTATCAATGCCTTTTTGGTAATAGATGATGTACAGTACTATTAATAATTTAATGAGACTTTTTAATTTTGTAATAGTTAATGGACAGCCACGACCATTGGAGTCTAATCAAGTTAAATATCTTCGCTGGGAACTAATAGAACTTCGGAATAAGGTGAACCGGCTGCTGGATAGCTTGGAGCCCCCCAGCGAACCAGGTCTTTCTTCTAACATCCCTGAAAGTGGTATGTAGAATTATTTGCCTTCATTGTGCTTTTTTTTAAAAAGAAAAAATCCATTGTGTCACTGTCTATAACCTACAATCCATGTGTTTTGTAAAAGCAGTACCTTTTTTCCTTTTTCTTTTCATTGAGTACATTAACACAAGCCTTATGGAAATCTGAAATATTTGGCTTTTGTGTACTCATTGCACCCTTTTATATTGTATTGTGAGTCCCAGATGTGCAAAGGCAATTGTGTTCTTAACATTGTATAAAGTAGCAATTGAAGAATAGAATTTTAGTGCTCAGAAATGTATCTGAATTCATTCACAGAGCATGAAGTGGTAGAACAATGATAGCAAACTTGTAGCACCATTAGGTTTACATTTAAACTCTATTGCAAGTGAAGTAGAAAGGATTTTGTTTTTAAATAGAATTTGTGCACGTTGGAGTGCATTCTGAATATGTGCTGAGGTCAGTTTTACTTGATTGTTTCTTTCCCTTCAAATCACCACAGCTGGTTCTGTTACTTCTACCAAGCTTGCACAAACCCCTGGAGAACTATTTTGAGAAATATGTCCTTGCAATGTTAACATTATTTTTGGAATGAAAAGAATCATCTGAAAATGTTACAATTAAACTGAGTAAATGGGTTTGTTTTTTTTCCTGCAGCTTTGGAAAATAGCCATCCTTTCAGAACTATACTCTTTGATTCTTACTGTTAATATATATAGATTTTAACAGTTGCATTCTAAAACCTAAAATCAATTTAATTTGACTACTTTCTGAACAGCAGAGGGAAGATATCTGTGTAGCTGTGAATTTTACCAAACATTGTAATACAACCAGAATGAGCAGCATATATAATTTTATTTATTTTAAGCTTTTAATTAATAATTTTTTTCTTCCCTATCTTTACATTTTTAGTTATTCTGAAGATATAATTATCACATTTTATTAAAAGAAATTATATCAACAAAAACTGATTTGCTTAAGCTTAAGACATGGCAAGGGTGCAGCAAAACAGTGTACCTAGCCTTTGTAAAAGTTTTCCTAAAATTCACAAAAAAGGCTGCTAATTGAGCTTAAAGGATTGAAATGTCAAAGTACGTGTAAGAAATCAGTTCAAAGATGGGAAATAATATTTTGTCATTGGGAAATAATGTCAGAATCAGGTGTGGTGCTGCTTCCAAGGTTGTTATTGTCACCAGTATGGTTTCTAATTTATAATACTGATTTTGAATCAGAAACACTCTAACCGTACCAAATCAATAGAGCAAGTTAAACCTGAAAAAGAGCCAATGACTTGCAAATAGCGTAAGTGGATGGAATAGTACTAGATGAAATTTAGCGCAGTTAAGTACAAGAATTGCACTTTGGCCTGGGGGAGGGTAGTATACTTTTAAAACAAAACTGGCTGTTATTAGTGCCCCATGATAGTACATTTATAGGAAATGGGAAAACTGAATCTGGATGAGGAACTTCAGCAACTTAGCATATCCAGTTACTATAAGGCACAGTTCAACAAACCATATCAAATGATGAGCTGATGTGCAAGTTTAGCTTTAAGTTCTGCACTGCTGTGGTTGAATCACATGCTTAATAGTGTATGCAATTTGTGGTTCCTAAGAAAGCACCTGGTGGTGTAGTGCCAGCCACTGATTCTGGATAACTGGGTATTGGTGGAAACCTGGCATAGCCTTTAATTAGAATCTCTGTTGCTTGCATGAGTGTCTGGTATGTAACGATGAGCAAATCACTTGGAGAGACCGAGAAGGCTGTGAGGGAAGCCAGAGATGTGATTTACACCCATCATCCTTGCAAGTACCTATCCAATGAGAATTGGGGAGATGATAAAATTGGTCTGACTATTTCAAATTAATCTGTGTTGAAAGGAGTGATATGATTGCAGTTAGGAGAATATTGGACTATTAGGACATTAGTTGGGATCTGGCTTGAAGGATCATAATCATTTAAATAATGTGTGTGGAAGAGCCAAGGGTAAGAAAATAAATGGTAGGATTCCCAGATTACATTAAAATACCAAAATAATCTTAATAAACTTGAACAAAATGCATATTAGCAATAATGACTAAATTGGGTAACTGAATAAATAAGATATTAGTTCTAAATAATGTAAGTTTCCACCTTAAACTCACTTCGACAGATGTAACAGAGTTTAATCTTTTTTTTACTGTGGCTTTCAATTTTATAAACTTTTAAAATACCCATACTCTGAAAGGCAGTCCTTTTTATTCTGAGTCTAGATGCACAAGTCACAGTTCAGGTCGATGATACACTTCTACCAATCTGACTTCCTGGCCCAATTGTAGGAGTCGTATGATGTGACCCTCAAACACTCGCACACACTATTTCAGTACATAACTGGTCTTCTTTACAGAGCTATTTGGCTGTACCTACTTTTCCATAACTCTTTACCCCTCTCTCTCAAAACATAAAATTAAGTTCTTCAAAGACCATATTTTAATAACTCCCAGGTTCAGCCTTCCTCTATTTACAGCCTTTCAAAAAAAATAAGAAAAATCTTTTGCTCAGAACATAGCTCCACTCTTGAATAATTATATTCAAAGCCACCTCATGACTTTTTTTGCTTCTATAAATCTCCAGCAGGTTCAAAGATTCATTTCTTTATACATATACACAGGCATAATAAAGTTAGCTGAAAGTAAACCACCTCCAACTGACCATAAACTGAAACTAAAATGTTACATTTTTGATCCTTAATATAGCCCACAACAGAAACAGTTACAACATCTCAGGACATTGTTGCATGAGTTCCTCAGAATAGTGAGGTCGAACTGCCTTCAACCGCTTTTATTAGCGACCTTCCCAGCATCATAATGTCAAAAGTACAATTTTCACTGAGAGTTGCTCAATCTTGAGTACGATTCACAGCTCCACAGATAGCGAAGTAGTTCATGTCCATGAGACCCGGACAACATTTCAATTTAGGCTATTAAAATAGCAAGTCAAACTTGGGATCACACAAGCGCTCAGCATTTACTATCTCCAACAAGAGAGACCCTAATCAGCTACCCTTTAGACTCCATAGCATTTCTATAAAGTATAAACTTCATAGAAACTTCATACAATGTTCATAGAATCCGTACAGTGTAGAAACAGGCCCTTCGGCCCAACAAGTCCACACCGACCCTCGGAGCATCCCACCCAGACCCATTCCCCTATAACCCACCTAATCTACATATCCCTGATACACTATGGGCAATTTAGCATGGCCAATCCACCTAGCCTGCACATCCTTTGGGCTGTGGGAGGAAACCGGAGCACCCAGAGGAAACCCACGCAAACACGGGAAGAATACGCAAACTCCACACAGACAGTCGCCTGAAGGTGGAATTGAACCCGGGTTCCTGGCTCTGTGAGGCAGCAGTGCTAACCACTGAGCCACCATGCTTCCCCGTGGCATGGATAAATCTTTTCCGGTTCAATGTTTACTGTAAGGAGGCCTGGCTTTGAGAAAAATAAATTAACATTTAAATGAAACTATTAGATACTGATGCAACTGGAGTTAATTGCAAGTCATTTTAATTTTGTGCTCTCAATGGGTGTAGCAGCTACATCAAGACAGGTCAGTACCGTAATATCATTGATGACCACTCATCATAATAAAACATGAAAGGAAATCTTAAATTTTAACTAAGATGTAGCACACTTGTTTTTATTGCACAGTCCTCTTGAGTATAGGTGTTGGGAAGTCATGTTGAGGTTTTACAGGGCATTGATGATGCCTCTTCCGGAGTACTGTGCCCAGTTCTGGTCACCCAGTTATAGGAAGGATATTAAGCTGGAGAGGGTTCAGAAGAGATTTACCAGGATATTGCCAGGTATAGAAGGTTTGAATTCTAAAGAAAGGCTGGATAAGCTGGGACTTCTTTCACTGGAGCGTAGGAGGTTGAGAGATGACCTTAAAGAGATTTATAAAACCATGAGGGGTATAGATAGGGTTAATGGTAGTTGTCTTTTCCCTAGGATGGGGAATTTCAAGGCTCGGGGACAAAGATTTAAAACAGACATGAGGGGCAACTTTTTTTTGCACAAGCTGTTTTGTGCGTGGAGTGAACTTCCTGAGGAAGTGATGGATGTGGGCATAGTTACAATATTTAAAAGATATTCGGCTAGGTACGTGAATAGGAAAGATTTGGAGGGAATATCGGCCAGGAGCAGGCAGGTGGGACTAGTTTAGATAGGGATTACGGTCGGCATGAACTGGATGGACTGAAGGGTCTGTTTCTGTGCCGTATGACTCGGTGACTCTGTCGTGCTTGAGGATAAGTAAATTCGAAATGGTTTTGTTCACTACAAATGGTAACCACTGAAACTGAAAAGTAATCGTCAATGAGACCTAAAAAATTGCATTACTCAACTTTGTCTGTTCTACCAACAAAGCTGTAACATCCAGTTGGAATTTGAAGCAGGAGCTGTAGATCAAGTAAAGAAGCATATCTGATGTAAGTTGCAATAATGTGTTTTGTCTCAGGAGCTTAGCGAATGTCTAAATTTGATTTGGTAGTGTCAGTTAGTCCTAACAATTATCTCATAAGCTCCAACTGTATTGTGTACTTGTGAATCCATCTTTGTTCTGTAGTTTTGGAATTTTTGCCATTCCCAGTGGGAAGTTTATTTAAATTGCTTTGCTATAAATCAGATAGCTCTCTCTACTTTGAGTGAAGGAAGATTATAGGTGAACTGCACTTTTGCTAACTTTCTTGGCTAAACTTATCCAACAGCATTTATTGCAGCATAACACTGATGCCAGATTGGCAAATGCATTTATCAGGCCCACTTTGACTCATGTGAATCATATCACACAAACTGTCACATTCTTGCAATACTTTGTAGTTTGCTGACTTTGGGAATGGATATATTGGATGGTATAAGGCATGTTGAACTTCAAAAGTGTTTTTTCAATGCACAGAATAGTAAAAAGAAAGAGACATGTTGCAAACCCAGACTCAGTCTCTACGCTTCTACTGATAAAACAAAAATTACTGCAAAGTCTCATGAGGGACATGTTAAGGGGTGGTAGATGGTATCCAGGAATAATTTTCGGTGTGGTCTAGAAGCTAATTTAACTGCCGGTGCTATTGGTGTGCACCTCTAAAGGAAGGCAGAATTAATTTTGATGACCTGCATTTTTGTTCAAACGTACTAACTATACCATTATTCATATTTGCTTTATGTCAGTTTTCTTCCCACGCATTGTACTAGTGGGTCAATGTGAACATCTAGGATTTTCACAATGTTTAGATCTGCAAAGCTTTGCTTTTTACATTTATGCAGAATTCTCAGATGACTAAAATAATTTCCTTAGGATGATGGAGGGCTGGTTTTAGTACCACACCATACATTGTGACTTTTGAAACTGTTGGTTAATGACTTCTTTCCTCATTGTGTAATAAATGTTTTGCAGACCTTTCTCTAGTTTTGTTATCCTATGTAATAATTCATGGTTGAGGATTTTCACTGCTTTGTGCAGTAAATGTTTATCCTGTTTATGGTTTAATTATATCATATCAGAGAAGATTGCATTCTCCACTTAAGAGCCAACACGTTCAGTTCAAGTGCTGTGCCTGGCAATGTGTAAAATAATAATGGAAGCATAGTTATTCGTGTGTAGTTTTGTGCCATTTTTTTATTTTCAGATACCTGTCCATACTTCCTTTCTTTGACTCCTCCAACCAACCAATTATTGATTTTCCTTTGTCTTATGTAAAGTTGTGCATTTTTTTTGAAAAGGCAGATGAGAAAACTAGCTGTGGTCCTTCTATATTTGAGTACCTTTGTTTTATTTTAATAAATAGCCGAAACATTCTTTTCATTTTGTGCTTTTGTAACAGATGCAGTTGATGGAAGGGATGGAAAGGCTTTGGCACCAGACTCTACGATTAAGCAGCCAGTTCCCGTTAGTGCTGCCAGCATGTCTGCCTTTGATCCTTTAAAAAATCAAGATGAAATCAACAAGAATGTAATGTCATCATTTGGCCTGACTGAAGACCAGGTTTCAGGTGGGTTTATTGAATTAGACTTATGGTAGTATTTAAAAACAAAACTTACATTATAATCCCACAGTTCCACATTTGCTTAACCATGAAGCCAGCTAAAGAAAATGATTAAAACTGCACGATAATTTTCAAACTTAACTTTCATTATATTGGATACTGAAAATATGTACTTTTCTACAAATATCTACGTATCCTTGTAAACAGTCTGAACTTCATGATTTTCAGGGTGCTTGCCCCTAAATAAATAATTTGTATGTCCATGTCCCTCAGCAAAATATATCCACTACGTAACTGGAACTGTCTTTTTTCTTCATATGTTTAGTTACTATACAGAGATTAAATAAACAAACCAAAGCCTCTTGTAATGCTAAGAATTATGAACTGTGAGCATTTTTATTGACTAAACATGTGGCGCGATTGTGCTGGAGAAGTACATTTGGTCCGTGAATTTATAATGCTGGAATTTTTATTTCTGTGGCAATAAAATTTGTGTTTTATTGGTGTTTAAATGGCCAGTTGATCTTGTGGCGTGAAATTCCCCTGTGGAAAACTTGGATCAGTTAGTGTAATGGTTCACTTACTTTCGTCCTTGCTGCTGCTTTTGTCTTTGTGTATAATTATTAAATTTGTCAGCTATGCACTAAGAACTGTTTGAGGCGCTATATGGCTCCCCCTCAAGTGTGATCAGGTGGAGGCTTCGCTGAAGGGCTGTCCAGAAACATTTGTTAAAAAAGGATTCTCAGCTGTCATTGTTTGTTGTGGCTAATGGTCTGTAGGAGAATGTGCTCAGTTCAGTCAAAAAACTGACCACATTAGTTTTAGATATTATTGTGTAAAGGCTTTCAAGGTATCCAAAAGAAAATGTGGGAGTAAGACAGAATTCAGCAGCTTCCTTTGTAATCTACGTGGGATACGTAAAAAAGGGTCTGACTGCCATGTTGCTAGCAAGTTACTAGAAAATAATAAAACGAAGAACTGTCAATGCTGGATATCGAAAACAAAAACAGAAATAGCTGGAGAAACTGAGCAGAGCTGGCAGCATCAGAAGTTCTGAAGAAGGGTCACTGAACCAGTAATGTTAACTCTGTTTTCACTCCACAAATGCTGCTAGACCTGCTGAGTTTCTCCTGCAATTTCCAGTTTTGTACCTAAAAATAACATGCCTTTTTCTTTTTTGCCCTTTTTTAAGTAGTATCTGGGAACTCTGAGCTAATGAGGAGAGCCGAATTGTTAGTTTTTTTTTAGGGAGTTTGATACCATTTTGCCGATACTTATTCTATTACATATTACGCTACTTCATTTTCATTGAAGTTATCAGAAGTTAAATCGGTGACTTTGAATATTTGAGCTTTAAATGAAACTCTGCAACATGATAGAGCTTAGCACAGCAAATTTAGTGTAGATGCTGAACTTATGTTGTGAAAACTAAAAATGTTGGAAATAAACATCAGGTCTGGCAGAATCTGTGGAAAGAGAAATTATTTTATGATTTTAAAGGTGTTTAGAAACTTCTCATTAAATCAATTATACTAATAATGGCTTTGAGAAGAAGGAGGTTTGTTATAGCAGATATTATGCAACAAAGTACCTAGAATTAGAAAGTATGATAGTAGGAAATTTCTGACAAAATGGATGACCACCTCGTCCCTCTGGTATTTTCTTAGTTTGGCCCACTCCTGTTGCATCTTAACTTGCTCCACTGCATACCCAAGACCCACATCTAGTTTCTTATTGCAATATCCTTACTGCTTTCTACCCATTTACTCTGCACTAAATAACTTGGTGATTTCAACATCCATCTGAATTTGCTTTGGTCTCTCTTTGAGTTCACTGCTGTCTTATGTTTCCTTAATTTTTCCACTATGAATGCTGCCACTCATAATAACAGACATTCCCTCAACTTTGCTAACTGCATGATTTTTGTTATTGCTGTCTCAATCATGAGTAAGTTTTGTCTGATCACTTCCTTGTAACCCCTACTACTGTCATCGCCCTTAACAACACCATTTCTCTCAGTGCCTGCTCCTGAAAGAAAATCTTTCCTGTTACTCACTTGGAAATTTACAACAACCCAGCATCTGCAGCTGCCAGTTTCTTCAGTCATCTACCTCACCGCCACCTTTGTATTTATCCCAGTAAAACTCTTATCTTTCTTCATATTAATCATTCCCCTTGATAGAGTCCCTAGATTGACTCCCTCAAGTCCAAGACAGGCGGATTGGAATGTTTCTGGTGCTCACGTGGTATGCCATTCATCAGGTCTTGTTGGGTCACATCAGGCATTATTTTGGGGGAAAAAAAAAATTAAGTGCTGGAGGAACTCAGCAGATTTGGTAACTTTTGTGAGCAGAGAAACAGGGTTAGTGTTTGAATTCCAGTTTGACTCTTTGAAACTAAAGTAAGCTGGAAAATGCTCGGTTTTGTGCTGTTTTATGTATCCTCTCCTTTTCACATTTTCATTTACAGCCATTTTTCATCTTTATCTTTCCTTCAGCACTGGTATCACTCTCTGTCTTTTGCTTGGGACGCCCTAAAAAGTGTTTCGCTTGCATGACCTCTCTCTCTGTCAACAGCACAAAAAGTCAGGTTCGTAGGCTGCTTATGCCACTCCTAATTTCGCTCATCCAGAGACCCTCTTCCAGAGGTATCTAGTTGTTCAACTCTAGACCACTCAAAATACGCAGGGTTGCGGTGGGCAGAATTACCCCTGAAAGTAGCCAAATCTCCATAGAAAAGTGAATTTCAGGAGTGACCAAACTGAAAAAAGTTGCCACCATCTGTGGAATTGTCATTTTGACTGGAGGGGAAGCGAGAAGGTGAGGCAACGAGGCCTTGCGGGGCAACAGAAAATTAGACCAAGAGAGATGTTTGGCTCCCTTTGGCAGCTACTGGCTTCTCCTCCCTCTACTTTTCCAATCAACAAAGGAATGGCTAGCTAAATGGAAACCATTGAACAATTGAAGTCAAACTGTCATGACCGGAATGGGAAGAGCACACTGGAGGTCCAGCCCCACTATTCCTTAAATCATCACAATGTAAAAATGACCCATTTAACCACTCAAATGCTTAATTTTCCTATCTATGATAAAATAAACTACATCCGGTTTCACCAATAAACAAGGAATGGAAAAACTTTCTTATTATAATGAATATCCCTCTAACATGTGTCAAAATTGATTATTAATTACTGACATGCAAACCTAAACTATACCCCTTTTAAACGCAAACACATACACCTTCATTCACAAATAGGACGGACAAGATGGAATGGTTTTGCAGGAATTTCATGGACGAAAATTATATGCAAGAAACAAAATCTATGGATCAAGAGTCCAAACACCAAAGGAGTGATGGAAATAAGATGAATTCCTCTGAATTCTCTGACCTCTTCTGGTTTTTTGGGCAATGATGTCAAGTTGTTGATTGTGGTGGTCCTTAAATTGACAGCCAGTCAGTTAGGACTCGATCTTGAATTAGAAGTTGTTCTTTTCAGAATCTTTTAGTGCTGGTTGCCTTTCATTCACAGGGGTCCTGACCTTTGCAAGCTTTTGGAGGTCTGAGTGTAATTGCCTCTCAAGTCTGATGAACTGCAATTTATAGAAAATCCAAAAGCTGGTGCTGGCCACTATGTCTCTCAAAAATATGAAATCCAGTTGCAGATTAAATTCCATCAATATCCTGCTGTATCCTTTGACAACCTTCCTGACTATCCATAATTTCGTCAATTTTCATGTCTGAAAATTTACTAATCACTGTTTGATTCTAAATTTGCTGAGGAGCAGTGCTCAAAATTCAAACTAGTCTCATGATTTAGGGGTAATGCACATCAGGGTCAAACTTGAAATCTAGAAGTCCTCAGCAAAGCCTCTTGTTGGAAGTTTTAAGTGTCAGAGAAGATGAGGCAAATGGAAGGAAAGCATGGAAACAGAATGTTTAAAGATCTCTGGACTTTTTGATGTCCCAGCTTCAAATCTATTTATTTGATAATCTGAATCTAAATTCTGTAGTATGTGGATTTGTTTTGAATTGTTGTGCTTAATGTTGACATGCTGCAAAGATGTAGTTCATACTATTTCACACATACTTTACTGGATGTCTTGGCAAACATACCTTCTGGTCCATGAACAGACATGGAGTATATTCCATTATACTGCTGCATTATTCCTTGTTGATGCTAGAGGGTCTTTGGGGCAATTGGAGGTGAGTTACGCAGCACTAAAATTGTAGCCTCTGCTGTTGTAGTCCAATTCTATTTCTAATCAATGGTTACCCCAGGATATTGATAATGGGCGTCTCAGTTATGGTAATGCCATTGAAAATCATGGGGAGATGGTTAGATTTCTCTTTTTGGAGATGATTGTTCCTGGCACCTGTGAGGTGCAGTGATCTTACCCTTACTAACAAATAGTGCTGAACGTTTTGTTATCATCAATGAACATCTCTAAAGTTCATTTGAGAAAACGATTCAAGATGGTTAAGCCTAGGACATTGCCCTGAGGAACTGCTGCAGTGATATCTTGGAAATGAGAAAATTGACTTTCAAAACCACAGCCATCTTTTCTGTGCTAGCTTTGACTCTAACTAGTGGAAAGATTTCCCCCTTTAAATTCAGTTCTGCCAGGGCTGTTTGATGCTACATTGTCAAATGCTGCCTTGATGTTGAACGCAACCACTCTAAACTTAGCTACAGGGCTTGGTTGTTTTATCCATGTTTGGACCAAGACAGTAATGAGGTCAGGAGGTGTGTGACCCTGGAAGAAATCTAACTGTGTTATTGAAAAAGTTATCACTGAGCAAGTACTGCTTGACAGCATTCTTGATGGGTCCATCCATCACTTTAATGATCAAGAGTAGATTAATGGGGTGGTGATTGGCTAGATTTGATTCTGCTTGCTTTTTACAATTGCATTTTGCAGTCTGAATGTGTGCTGTAAGTTGTTTCTGTAACGTGTTGTCCAGCTGACTTGGGTATATTGTCATAACCACTGATGAGCTCATTGCAG